TTCCGGACTAGAAGTATCGCTAAATTTTCCTTTACGACATTTTCCGTGCGGACGGTCATCTCGAAATTAGTTTGTTAAGTCCGTAGGAAATATCGATAGGGTAAAAGTTGGCTTACACTCGATTCGGAGCGATATTTAGTGTACTAGGAAAGACGTAGAGTGAGAGGATATTATCGAGAAGTCTAAGAGAATTTACAGAAATTTATATAGTAATATAACATTTAATAGAACAGTTTAATTTTAAATTGCCGTAGAATTATAAAACCGTATTTTAAACCAATTCGGATTTAAGACCCGTTTTGTTTTTACTGATACCATCGTAGGTATTTTTACTTAAAATATACGATGCTTGGGTATTGTACCGCCGGCACACGAACGCATTAAGAGTTGCAACAGAGACACCTTAGACAACTGTTAAGAATCAAATGGTACCACCATGTCTCAAATGTATCAGTCCTTGAAAAAGCTCGCTGCGAGAGCGCTGAAGTCATGATTACTAGATCCCGCTTAAGATGGGCTGGCCACGTATGCAGGATGCAAGAAAACCGCCTACCGAAATCTCTTCTTTACGTTGAGTTTGTGGAGGGTAGGAGAAAACCGGGTGGACAACTGAAAAGATGCAAGAATATTTTACAATAGAACGCAATGGAGAACAATTGTAAACTCAGTTAACAACGACAACCAAAGAGTAAAGAGGGAACAAAGTAATGAGATTTTTGAATGTCCGGAGTGCGGAAGAGAGACATATCGGGCTTTTTAGTCGCAGAAAACCTCACGAAAGAAAACGCCTTGCGTAAACATCTTCTGATGCGTGTCAAATACTTGTCAGCGAGTAATGGCAGTAGTAGTACTTAAAATATATCAATTCTGAGTGATGATAAAACTTGTTATCCAAAAAAGACCTATGGATATTTCGCCACTGGAAGAAAATCTACAAAATAAAATAGTTATTTTTTGTAAACACTGCTGCGTTAATCCAACGGAGACTGATTGTCAGCAGTGGCTTACTAATGAACAAATTTGCCCAACGGACAAAAAAATGCTTAACGTTTCGGAAAGTATTTCTCTCTCCGTCATACAAAGAATAAAAAAACTATATTAAAATATCTAAATGAAAAAAAAAACTAAAAAAAAACTTATTTATGTCGTGATTAAAACTGGCACAGAAGACATAAGGACAAAAATAATCGTTGATGCTGCAAAACATGACAAAAATAATATAATGTCAAAACTTAAATCTAGGCCAACTTAGTTTATATAAACTGATTTGTTTTCAGTAAGCCAATTCGATGTGAACCCAAGAGAATCGTGCGCGTAACGTCGACCTAGGCATGCTTTTTCTAATAAACATTATTAATTAAGTAACTAAAATTTGGTTGACGTAACGTAAGAATTCAAGGCGAAGTTCGTCGCAGGTATCGGCGGTGGAAATATACTGTAAACTGCTTTATAACGCACCCGCCGCGCGCCGATGGCTGCGACGAGAAGACGAATATAATAGAATATGCTAAAGACAGCGCAGGCAGTCAGTTAATGAGTGAGTCAGACGGTTGATGAGTTATGGTGACTGAGATCGCGTAGAGTTAAAGTCCAATGATGTTGGCAAAACTGGAAGTACTTCAGCGTACTGTGTTTTGGTGTTTCCTAGTTTGTTTCCCTATATTTATTATACAGGGTGGCGCACCTCATTCGCCTCGGTTGATTATACGAAAACGGAAAGACGTAGAAACAAAATATTTTATGGGTATATGTAGAGAGGTAATGTACATAATTTAAAATTATTTACTAAGATCCATACCAAAGTTATATTTTTTCTTATGGAACACCCGGTATTTTATTTCATTTTTGGATTCTTGGACATAAAATAAGAAATTTATTATAAGGATTTAATATGTTTAAAAGCTTTAGTTTTTGAGATATTTAAAGATATTTAAATAAGCATGCTATAATAAAAATGTTTGTCAACACCCTGTACATTACTTTTCAGAGTTAATTCTTGTGCTGCCTTTGAAGCCAGTGAAATAAACTTTACTAAAAAAAATTATTGCTTCCTTAAATGTATACAGGGGATCAAATATTGCTGGTCTATTTTAAATATTTATTTTACATAAATACTTCGTTATTTTAAATACAACACTATGTATTTTTTTGAATAAGTCGAAGCAGATTTAAATGCTCTTTCAAACTATATTAGGGTTTCCTATATCTATCTGGCTCAGATTTTAAATAAAAAGCGATTTTTCAATAAAATTGTAATCAAGATGGCTGGTGTTGCCATGGCAATTTTCTAGTGACACTTAGTAGCTATTTCCAAAATCGACATTAGTTTGTGGACGTTACTGCACATTACGATGTTTCTAGCCTCGCTGTGTTTACGTAAGCGTTCGCGCTGAGCCCACGGAAATTTCAAACAGCCCGCGGCTTTCCGATAAGAATTTCGCGTCATCCCCGGTGCCGTATTTCAAATATTATGCAAATATTTTCCCGTATATTTACACACACACACGCGCGCTCCCAGCCAAAGCCAAATTGCCGTTTAATGGAAGTGGGGGACGGAAGACGTCGAAATTTGACGAAATCCCCGAGTCTGAAGCATTTAGACTGATATTTTGGCGAAATAGAATTGCCGAAGGAAGATGATGATGATGATGTTTCGGCGTCAGCTGGCTGTCTTAAGGCGCAAAGTAAATTTTCTCGTGTCGGCGGTGTTTTAACTTGTGATATTTCGGAGTAATTATACTTGATTTGTCTCCTTTAGGGAAGTTTTATTGAATAGGGTAGTAAAAATTACCACTTTCCATAAATTATTGTAGGTAAATGTAATACTACAGTGACCGCTAAATAGTTTGCAACAAATGGGATTTTAATACTTTATTTTTTACTTTATCACTTATTTAGCATTATTGTTAAGATAAAAAAAATACGTAAACATAATTTTATTACTATTATTATTTTTATATATAGCGAGTGCGTCTCAAAACTGGCCCACTCCTATAACTTTATTATTTTTTCAGACGAAAAAAAGAGTTTTGGTATGTTAGTATACGATATAAAATAGGATTGATTGACGTATTCAATTGTTTTGACCACTACCTGTTTCACCGGAAATGACTACAACTTCTGATTTTTAAATGACACTCTCGGAATTTTTTTAGTTTATTCGATAGAAAATGACACTTGAAATAGAATGACATATGATATGTCAACTTTTTACATTTTCGCTTAAAAATAAATCGCATTTAAAATTTAAATTTCAATCTGAAGTGCTTTAAAAGGTACCTTTTAAGTCACTTTTTTGCGATTTTTTTTACGAATAATTTGGTACCACACACTTGGCATTGTTATAAACCGCATGTTACAATTTCAAATAAACCATATACGAAAATCTTAAAACTTGACATATTTTCATCTGTCATTCTGTTCAGAGCATCATTTTCTATCGAATAAAGTAAAAAAATACCGAGGGTGTCATTTAAAAATAGAAACTTGTATTCATTTCCGGTGAAACAGGAAGTGGTCAAAAACAATTGAATAAGTAAAGCTAGATTTATAAACACGGGAGTTGGCGTTCAGTTGAGGTTCAGTTGCAGTTGGATGTTCGCGGCAGTTGAGGTTCAATGTTTTTGCATTTATAAACTGTCAGTTTCGGTTGTAGGTTAGGTTTGGAATTGTGAAAATTTCGAACGTTTTTCTTTCGATTTAAAAATACTTTTGATATTTGTCAAAGTTCAAACACAGTAATCCAAGATTAGCCAAAATATAAACAACAAATATAAACAACAAACAACAATAAGGGTAATTTTCTAATGTATCGGCGTACTTCACGTGATCGACAGGCGCTTATTCATTGGCTGTCGCCGAACGTCGCCAGCGGTCGCCAACTGCCGACATAAACATTGACCATCTTTGAACTCCGCTGAAAGTAAAAGGAACTGCCAACTTTTCGACCAACTGACTTTATAAATGCGCGCGTTCATTTCATAGCGTTGAACATTTTGAACGGTAATTGAACCTCAACTGAACCTCAACTCCCGAGTTTATAAATCCAGCTTTAATCAGTCCTAATTTATATCATATACTAATATACCAAATCCCGTTTTTTTATCTGAAAACCCAGCCAAAACCAGCCGGTATTTATATTGACAAGCTAGATATTAAGAGGTGGCTATTGGTCTCTTCCAGTACGACCATAAGTCGATAGGCCATTGACAATCATATGACCGAGGACCGCGGTTTGGATTCCGGTTAAACAAAGTAAGCCCCGTACAGATTAGTCTTAGAGCAAAAGGAGGCGTTAACATAAAATACTTGACATTTTTTTTAATCTTGAGATTACATTTTTCAATCCTACTCATTTCACAAAGTGTAATAACTTAAGAGTCCGTACTTTTGAGCTTGCAATATGATTTGTTAGTAGATCAACTTACTAGAGTTTTGATATTTTTCCTTTGTTTCCTTATGACCTGGTGATTTTTCCACTACTAGAGATTTATTGGACACATACTGTTTTGTGGCCATATTTGTAATTCGTTTTGCAAAACAGAAGAAAAGGATAAAAATAAAAATATTTTACAAATAACCAAGGATCTAATACCAAAATAGTCCCAAACTACAGCAATAATTAATAAGATATTTACTTCCTTTCTATGTTATGCAAACTTAATAAAAACTCATTAAGTTACTTAAGTTAATGGTATCTCTAAATAAAAAAAAGTTAATTGAAAAAAGAAATAGGCTATTTCTTGGAATATATAAAGGCTCTTTGAAGGATTTCTGCATAGAGCCAGGCCGTAATTAGCGTTATTGCAGCCTCTTTTTAGATGTACCTTTTGACGGTGCTTGTAATTATGTTAAAGTAAACTCGCTTTTTATTCGCCGTAATTAATAATCAGAAATTCAAGTTAGAATAAAATATAAAAAGCCTAAATATACATTTTAGTACGTTAACATTACGTTAAAAAGGTCATTTAATTTTTAGTTATGCAACATTTAATACTTACATCGGACTTTCAGATTGACAGGGTCACTCAGCGTCTCTCCTCGAGGATTCACAGCAAGACACGTATATGCCCCACTGTGCCACCTAGTAACGCTTTGTAGAACCAAACTATTCGTGCTGATTATTATCCCCGATGATACGTTCTGACTAACCAGCACACCCTGTAAATAAGGAAAATATTCGTTTTATTCATTTACTTTGACAAATCCTCTAAAAAATAAGTCCTAGAAATTGAATGTACGTTATCCTTTAATGGAGTTGTTTCTGTAAGACGGAAAAGATATTTTTAAAAATGCTCTATAAGCGGATTAGAGTGTTTAGAGGAAAAATAAGAGGTTAGTAATGGTGGGATTATATTTCGTGGGGTCGCTTTTACTGTACGCGGAGATAGAGAGTTGAAATATAGGGAAAAATAGCAGTGAAAACTCTGGCAGGTCTTTAAGGATACGTATGCAGGTGCTCAGACTTTAGTATGATGAATAAATAATGTAAAAATTAAAAAATAACAGTTCACATTATAATATTTCAAAGATATACAACGTAGTTGAGGTTAGTTGGGGTTAGATCAAAGATAAAGCAGACAATGGCCATCGATCATTTGCTTAAACTATACATAAATCCCCTTCCTCCCTGTACCCATCCTATTCTATTTGATAATCGATATCCAGTGTAAGTTTTGGATATCGCGTTTGTAATTGAGACTGGATACTGGATTGTGCCATTTGATATTTCGACGGGGCGATAGAGAAGGCATTAGCGCTGGATGGATCGGTTGATAAGTGTGGGAAATTCCAAGATTGGAAAATGCCAAAGAAATGACGTGGCCAATGGAGGGTAGGAAGAAACCTCTTTGAGTGGGTGACTGGAAATTCAATCTTTTTCTCTATAGGATGAAATATGATGCAAACAAATGTGAAATTAGTTTCTATGAAAAGTTAATTTGAAGCTCGTCGCTAATATGATACTTGTTTCTTATTTTGTTATTGCGAAAAATGTCAAGTTCCTAATAACAACCTATTTATGGAAAAAAATGTTTACAGATAACATTTTATTTCTTCAATAAATAAACTATGTTGTATTTTACCATACCAGAGAAAAGCACACAAAAACCTATTTTTCAAATATTATTTACGAATGAAAAAAAAAAATGTAGAAAGATAAATATAAAAAAGACTAACCATATATATATATATACAAATATACATTGATTTTTCCCCTGAACACTTCTAGTCCGGTCAAGCTACCAAAATCCTTGTGTTTTTAGTAGGGGGCCTAATTTTTATGATTCTAAATAATTTTTAAGGTGTTAACGTTGAAATTAAGCGAGGAAGTCACTTCGAAAATTTTGGTGTTTGGTCACTACATTAAATTATACCAGCAGGAACAAAAAAAAAAAATAAAGGTGTAAATAAAAATAAGATGTTTCCTCTCGGAACACTATGAGATCTAGTATTAAAAACACCACCGGTGAATCTGTGGGGAAGCCCCCTAGCGACACTGGGAACATTACAAATGAAAGTTCCAAGGGACAAAATCCAAAGGAAACTACAGGAGGGGCGGCTGACACTTGCTTGGGAGTATCCTCCACAAGTGGCACACAAGCTACCACCTTCTCCAGCAAGGGTCGGGAACCTACCTCCTAAACCCAATAAGCGACATGAGCTACCGTTTCTTCTACCCGGCCTGGGTCAATCAGGCGGGCTAGACGATCCTCTGAGAGTAGGTCTTAGCGGAGCACAAGCACGGAGATACCTCCGACTGGTCCACGAAGAACTTGCTCCAGAGGAAGAAAAAGCGAAAACACTCCTCCGAAAAGGGGAGAGTAAAGAAACCAAGAAACAGCCTGACTCATCTCCATCAACGGTCAAGAGAGGGAGCGAGAACCTCTCACCTCTTCTCCGGCAAGGAGAGAAAAAAGCCAGGATGGAAAGCCGTCCAACACCGGGAGGCAAGCAGGGACGTATCACCAGCTTTGCCGCTATTGCTCGACAAGTGAAAATGGCGGTGCTGCCAAAGGATTTTCCAGAGGTTGCTCTGTCCACTAACGCAAAACAACGATCTACAAAATGTGGGTCAGCTACGTTTTGTGGGGTTACACTTTCGGGTGGGCCTGATCCTCATAGATTGTGTATCTCAAGAATCGGCGAATTGGTTGGTGGAAATCGCACACACCTAAGCTTAAAAATTGGCGAGGGCCGGAACTGGTTGCAGTGAAGGGAGAAAACATCCCTAAGGGGAAAGACACCACCTACCTGCTGAGCCTTATCCAAGGTAAGAATTTCAATGTAAGGACATCGAGTTGGTGAGTCATCAACTCGAGGGAGGAGGGTCATGGTCAGGCCTTCACAATAGGAATCGACTTCAAATCTAAGGGGGCAATAGAGAAAGAGGGACATATCCTCTATTATAGATACGGGAGAACACCGGTATCAGGTCTAAGGAGAGACCAAGTGAAAGAGATAGACAAAATGGAGACAGATCCTCCAGCCTCCACCTCACGGGTTCTTCAACCGGAGGCAAGCTCCTCGACGGTAAAGAGCGGCACGGAGGGCCAAACTCCAACCGTGGAAGGGTGTGTACCCTCGGAGGAAGAACTGTTGTCAAAGGAGGATGGGAAATACCCTGTCCCCTCTACAACAGGGGTATGATAGGTTATAGATTGTGTGATGACTCAAGGAAGGGAGGCACAATAGATCTTTAAGGTCGCAGTGATTAATCCCCCCCCCTCTTACTCATTCTACACTCTACTTGGGTATAATGGTATTTACCCAAATTTAATATATGGAGGGTAGGAAGTATTTACCACTGGGTATAGACCTTGGGTATTTAATCAAATTTCAATATATTGGGTGTATTCCCATCACTGGTTATGAGTACCATCATTTTGCACAGTGTGTACATTTTGTGTATATTTTATATTTTTGATGTGAGTTATTTACTAACGAACAATAAACAATTATTTTATAAAAAAATTATATAATTATTATTTAATAGCAAATAATACAAAGAGGGCGACGCCCCCTAGCCGCAATAGCGGAAAATAATTCCTCTGAAATAAAAGCTAACACGTCGTTTATTGTACTTTTAAATACGTCTGGGCCTGTCCCTCGGGAAACAGTAATAAATCTACACGCCCAGGCTCCCGTCTCGTCTCAGCGCCCTCTACGGCAATAGAGTGAATTATTACGGGGTTTTTCCGATAAACACTTCTCCTCCCTCGCCCTTAGACACCCCTCTATCGGCCCTTTCTTTCTTTTCCACATCCGTTCGATAGCTTTTAGTGAACGTTATTTCGACTTTATCGGTTCATTATAGTTGGATTTAGATTTTTTTCGGCGACTCTTTTTTGCCCCGGCCACTTGCCGTGCCTGAGTGTGTTTATTTCGGTTCAAATATATTGTCTCTTTTTCGATGGCAGTTTATGATTGATTGGTCAGTATTTTTATATCTAGAAGCTCTTTAAATTGTTATATAACATCTTGAAGAGCTTCTAGGTGGTTACGGATTTACCCTATGGTTACGGCACTAAATAGGATGCAAATACCGAAAAAATCCGGTGGCTCTCGAAATTGAATAACTCGGTTATTTTGGATTTGAAAAACGGTGAAGAGAAAATATATTTCTTTTATCGACCACTTTTAACTATCAACCCTAATAATATTTTTACTTATTTAGGACCCACCCTGTATAATAGACGGTTCCATTCGGTTAGAAACGATAGGGAATCTCAGAATGATTAAGAAAATAGGTTGGGTCGATTCAGTAGGGTTGGATCAATAATCCGGTAGTGTATAAAATTAGTAAACCAAACAAAAGGGTGCATTTTTACTGTTAAGATACTTAGATTACAGTTGGGGGTTGGAACCTTTGGTGTTACAGCAAAATAATAAATCACCACAATACACCAAAAACACTTTTATTTTTACACTGGACGCGCGTTTCGCTAACCATGTTAGCAATATCAGCAGATAATTAAAACTGAAGTTAATAAGTAAGTAGTTTACTACTAGTAGTTAAACTAGATTTAATCATCTACTGATGATGCTAACATGGTTAGTGAAACGCGCGTCTAGTGTAACAGTAAAAGTGTTTTTTGAGGAAATAAAAACATAACCCAGACACCTGGCCCTTTGAGGAGAACCCACTTATTTTTCTATATTTTTAAAAAAGAAAAACAATCAGTATATTATAATGATACGTTTTTTACATTAAACCGTGATCATAATGTACATATTGTTTAAAATTAAGTACAAATAAATAAAATAAACTTAACAGTACTTGTATCACCCGTTGTAAACCTGCCACAAACTTATAAAATATTTGGAATCACTTTGTACTTTGTAAACAAAATCTTTGCATAAACGGAATAAAATAAACCACGTTTCGACGTTTTCAGTGCACATACACGTACCATGGTAACCTATGTCAGTTATTTTATTATTTGATGATTCTCTAGAGTTTTCTTAACTATTATTAATTAAAAATAAAGGGGTTTTCTCAATTTTATTTTTTTGAATTATTCCACATTTTAAGTTGTTTCTGGCCCAATGTGATACGGTATTTTTTTAAGGTTTTTATGAAGCTTATTGTCAATAATATGTGATGCTAACATAAAATTTTCTTCAGAACTGTTCCTCAGAACTTACGACCGAGAAAAATCAAAGGTTTTACTTGATTTAAGTAAAAACAATCTTCGGATTGTCACGGGGTTTCTACCAGGACACTGTCGCCTCAACAATGAACTTTGGTACGGCTGATGTCGAGGATGGAGGGCTGGCCTCTGTGGAGCCGTCTCAGAACTGAAGAAAGGGGAACACACAATAGATCTGTAAGGTCGTGGTGGTCCTAAACATTCTAACATAAAATTCCATATTTTCGACAACTAGATTATTACAGAATAATAGATTTTATGCGCTTTCAGAGCTTTTTGTGACAAAAATATTTTTTAGCAGTTTTTCTTCAGAAAATTTTTTTTTTCCTCAAAAAGTATGCGCGGTGGCGTTTTTTACAAGAGACAGAAAATGTCGTAAATACTAGAAGGACCACTTTACGAAAAAAAAAACGGTTGTCGATTGAGTTCGAAAATATGTCTACTAAAATTTATGTAAGGGTGGGGGTAGGTTTAACCCTTTCCGTACTTTCTGGATTTTTGTGAAAGTCA